CTGGGTGACTTGATACCACCTGATTTGCATGACTCAAGTAGGCCCAGCTGCTTGCTCTTGTTCATCAGCAGCCACCCTATGAAAGCCAGTGTGATGTAACAGTTAGAGCTTCAGAGTAGGGTCTGCAAGACCCAGGTTCAGATCCCCATCTTGCGGTGGAAGCTGACTGTGTGATTTTGAACCAGTCACATACTTTCAGCCTAGCCAACCTCACAGGGTTGTTGTGCAGATAAAAAGGAGAGAATAATGTAAGCTGCTTTGGTCCCCCCCACTGTGGAGAAAGACTGTAACTTTCCTAGGTAGAGGCTGTGGGGGAGGGGTATGGAGATGGAAAGTTGCAGACAGAGAGGCAGATAAAGGTAGGTTGGCTGTTAGGTGGGAAGGAAATTGTGTTGCCAATTCCAGGTTGGGAAATTCCTGGACATTTGAGGGGTGGAGCCTGGGGAAGGTGGGATTTGAGGAGGGAAGAAACTACAGACCACTATAATGCCATAGACTTCACCCTTCAAACCATACATGGAGGAGAGAAAGAAAGGGGGGGGCAGAAGGGAGAAAGTGTGAGAGAGGTAGGGGGAGACAGGAGGAAGCAAAGGCGTGAGGAATAGGATAACCATCCCGTAAGTTTCTTGCAGGTCTCCACTTGTGTTTACTAAGTCAAAACAGGAAAACAGTATTTCAGTTTTGATTCCAGGCTAAAGTGTAGGTCTAAAACAAGAAAATTCATTAGCTGTTATTTGATGTATGATACACGCCGGTTTGTTAAACACCAGCACAATACTGTCAAAGTAAAAACATATTGCAAAGTTTCTATGCATACTTTCTCTCTCTCTCTACTGTATATATGGTGGACTGGTATACCATCAAATCCTGGAACAGATCATTGGATCTTACTTACTTTTTAATGTCCCCAGAACAAACTGATTTACTCTTTGATGTTTTGCAGGAATTCAAGGGGGATGGGCCAGGTGATAGACTGCTGAGTATATGCCCCTCACTGGAGCTGTTCTTTAATGATAAAAAGAAAAAAAGAAAATAAAGATGTCTTTATCCAATTGATTACACATTACATTAAGCCCTGTAATACCAATCAAAGAAAACAATGCTGTTATTTTTAAATTCATTTTGGATGGAGATTTTTTCTTTGCTCTGTAATACATGTCTACCTCTCATGAATACTTTGATCACATTCCATATGATAATGTCATGTAATTAAAGCAGCTTTTATCTTAAATTTGAAAAGAGTCCTACAAAGTTTGCTGACCCTTAAAAAGGATTTTGGTTAGTCCTAACTAAGGTGTTACCCTGTTTATCATTTGCTTTGTTATTATTATTATTATTACAGATCAACAATAAATAAATATTTCCAGCAGATTCCAAAGAGGCCATGGAAACCACAAACCAGTGCCTGGAGGAACTTTTGGGATGGATGAAGGCTAATAAACTGAAACTTAATCTCAACAAAATGAAAGTGCTACTAGTGGGAGGAAGGACTAATCCATGAATTGAGGTATCTCCTGTTCTGGATGGGGCTGAATTAAAGCAGCAGTTTCATGCCTTGGGAGTGTTGTCAGATCTGCAACTCCTTCTGGAAACGCTGGTGGCAGCAGTGGCCAGGAACACCTTTCACCAGCTTTGTCTGATATTTGACATTCCCTCACTGATTCTCATTGAAGTTGTTTTTATACCCTGCTTTTCTCTACCATAAGTGGCTTACAATTGCCTTCCCTTCCTCTCCCCACAACAGGTATCTTGTAAGGTAGGTGGGACTGAGAGAGTTCTGAGAGAACTCTGACTGGCCCAAGGTCACCCAGCAGGCTTCATGTGGAAGCGTGGGGAATCAAACCCAGTTCTCCAGATTAGCATCCGCTGCTTTTAGCCATTACACAGCACTGGCATTGACCCTCCTTCCTGTTCACGCCTCTGTTGTAATCATTTTTAATAGTTTTGTATGTATCTGTATGCCTTTTTAACTTGTTCTAACATTTTTATTGTTTGCCACCTTGTGGACCCTAAGTTGGGTAGAAAGGTGGCCTAAAAGTGTTTTAATTTTTTTAAAAAATAGATACAGAGAAAAGGGTTTCTAGCAATATCAATACACGTGCTTAACAATTTAACCTCAGTTGTTTCTAATCAAGGTAATGGGGCTAAAGCCTGAGAAAGCTAGGCTCCCAGGGTCACCCAGCCATGGTAAGTGTACTTTTCCCCCCTGCTTGGGCCCCGAGATTAATACAGCTATCTCCTTAGGTGCCCTTTCAGGTTTGACTAGTGATGCAAATACAACAGAATTCTTGGCATCAATATTAGATATTTTCTGATATTGATTTTTTCTACATGATGACTTTGCAGGTGAGGCTGGTGGAAAAAAGCCTTCTCTGCAGTAGCTCCCAGGCTATGGAAAGCCTTCCCACTGGAGACTTGGCTGACTGACTGATGGTTCCAGAAAGGCAGCTGTTAGTTTACTGCAGCAAAATAAAACAGAATTCCAGGGGCACCTTAAAAACTAACACCATTTACTCCAGTCAAAACACATTTTTTCAGATGCAATGAGAGAAAATATTTTCCCCCTCATTTTTATGCAGAAAATTATAAAAGGGTTAGGGAGTCAAGCAAAGAGTGTCCTGGTATCAGACCTATACCTGTTTTATGATACGGGGTCTTTTTCTGCTCAACTCCTCCCTTTCCCCATCCCAGTCCGCAATTTGCTGCATAAACATTCTGGAAATTATTTCATTTCATTACAACTGAGGAAGAGAGCACTGACACACAGAAGCTCATTCTGGAGTAAACACTGTTCGTCTTCAAGGTGCCACCGGACAATTATTTTGTTTTATTGATGGCCTTCCAGAGTTCAGTCAAGCCAATTAGGTTCAGGAGGGGCTAAATTATCTCCTTCACTTGAGATTCTCTCTTTGGTTTTGAATCAGGAAATGCTGTTTTATTTTCAGGAATCTTTTGTTAATGCATCTAATATTTTTGTTAGGGTAGACTCAATTGTATTGTTTTTTCTACATAGTATGCTGGTGGTTTTACTGTTTTGTTCTAGGTTATATTTTTCAATTATTTTATTTTTGTTTTAGTGTCATGCTACATGTATTTTTCTTTACTTCTTGTTCCACATGCTTTTTAAATAAAAAACTGCAACATAAGCTATATATTAAGAACTATTAAACACCTCCAATGTGGCATAGTGTTTCAAGTGTTAATACTGTTCTGAAGAAGCGCCCAAAACAAATGCCTGCTTGACATGAATCTCACAAAGAGCCATTGTTCTCTCCCAAGCTAACACAGGTATGGGAAGGGACTGTGGTTCAGTGGTAGAACATCTGCTTGACATGAGAAGGTCTCAGGTTCAATCCCCGGCATCTCCAGTTAAAGGGATCAGGTAAGAGGTAATGTCAAAGATCTCTGCCTGAGACCCTGAAAAGCTGCCGCCACTCTAAGCAGAGAACACCAATCTTGATGGAGCAAAAGGTCTGATTCAGTATAAGGCAGCTTCATGTGCCCATGTGGCTGTTGTGAAGATAAAATGGAGAAGGGGAGAACCATGTTCATAATCTTGAGTCCTGAAGTAATAGTGAGTTAAGCCTACTAGGTACAATGGCAGAAGGAGACACTATGAAATTAGTGGACAACAATTCAAATGCTTATTTTGAAGATGTATCAAGTATTTTATATACAGTATAAATATTGCTTCATGATCTTAAAAGAAACATTGAAAAGGTATCTAAGTATTAGTTGTCATCAAAGCAGCTTTTACGGAAATTAACTGTGGATGCAACGTGGTGTAGTGGTTAAGAATGGCAGACTTTAATCCGGAGAGCCAGGTTTGATTCCTCATTCCTCCACATGAAGCCAGCTGGGTGACCTTGGGTCAGTCACAGTTCTCTCAGAACTCTCTCAGCCCCATCTACCTCACAGGGTGTCTGTTGCGGGGAGAGGAAGGGAAGGTGATTGTAAGTCACCCCAAGACTCCTTTGGGTAGTGAACAGCAGGGTATAAAACCAACTCTTCTTCTTTCAAGTTGCCAACATCTAGTTCAAGAAACTAAACTCTGACCTGAATCAAACTTACCAGATTCACACTCAGTTCCCTGGCCAATCTTTCATCTAGTAATAATTGTTCTGCCATCTGTTTTTTCTTTTCTTCTGCTAGCCTCTGCTGCTCTTCTTCTTCTGCTAATAGCTTTTGAATATACTCTTCACTTGCTTTACTCTCCTCTTGTTCATTAGCCCGTCGCTCTTCCTCCACCTGAAGCAGAAACGTACCATGATTTATTTCTAGCTTCCACTTACTCAGTTTAGAAATTATAATTACAGCCCCCCAAAAATTAAAGGTCTACAAAATTTTGCCTTAGCTTAAGTGACCCATTACTTATAGTTGTAACTGATCCTTTTATCCCCCAAATCTAATGCCAGCTCTAATTTTTTGTGGGCACATTAGAACAAGCTACCAGTAGGTCCCCTTCAGCTTTCTAGATTTACCTTAGTAATTTCAGCTTCATACTCCTGTCTTAATTCTCCAGGCTTACTTAAGCAACGTATTGGCTGAGGAATGCATACTACAGTAGATGGGGGGAAATAGAAGAGAATATTAATGTCTCATTTTTATACATCAGACTTACTTTTTTGGCATTGCACAGATATGTAGCGAACCTCTTAAACACCTCTCTATAAACATTCAAATGGTTCTCCAATACTAAACCTCGGAGGAAAAGGAGTTTCCAATTTTCCAAATTTATCCAGTAGTAGTAGATAAAAATCTAAAAACTGCACTACTTGAGTTAACACCAGTTGCCCTGATGAGAGCAGAAACTGGTCTGCCTTCCTTAAGGGCGTGGGTGCATCTTGCTGTTCTAAAATCTTGGAAGAAAATCAGAGCTGCCAGTACTGACTCTTTCAGCCAACTGGCACTTAATTCAATGCTATCCAAAGACTTAGAGCATTCTTGTTTTCTTAATAATCTATTATCCATTCCTGATTACCTTCTTAGTTCTTCAACAAACAATTCAGACCTTAGATACTGGGTATTTAAGTGTGATGCTCTGTTAGACAGAAGGTTCATTTTAAAATCACAGTCTGCTCCCTGGTTCAAATCATTTAAGAATGACCATTTTAGATCCCCCTACCTAGTTAGTATAGATAATCACAACCTCAGAGCAGCTTTCACATCTTTGCGTTTTGAATCAATGCTAGTAGAACACCTAAGGAACAGCGCTTTTGTATTTGTGGCTCTTCTGTTATTGAGGATCTTCCCCATTATATCCTTGAATGCTCAATGTATACCCAACCTAGGTTAAAATTTCTCACTGGTATTTTATCAGACTCAAGCTTTTATTCAGACTCCGAGAAGATTGTATTTTTGTTAGCTGATTCCAATGCCACTATATCCTTTAGAATGGCTCTATTTGCCTTGGCTGCAAAGAAAATACGGGCGAACGCTGTTCTTATAGGAACCAGTTAATATTGATTTTACTGGGTACGTTTTGATTCAATTAATTGCTTATAACTTCAGTTTTATGGTTTTATAATATCTTAGATTTTATTCTATTTTATAACATTATTCATGTTTACAGTATTACTCTCCGCTGTTATCTTTGGTTTGTAATGGCCTATGGCTAAATAGAATAAATTTTAACTGTACTATTTGAGTTTCCCACAACTAGATGCTTTGAAGAGTTGTCCTTTTTTGGGGGGGGGGGAGTGGCATATACAGCCCATTCAGACACATTGCTTTAAAGCTGAAGAGTTTCAAAAGTAGTTTGCGATGCAGAGTGTTGTGCACAAAAAAGCTGCCTTGTAAGCCTTTGGCTGTGTGAGGGATAAAAATGTTTGAAACAGATACTAGTTAAAGGGGGAAACAAACAAAAATTGTAATGCAGTACAAATTCCTTCCATGTACCTATCTTTTGGATGTACAGCTTTTTAGCCCTCACCAAAACATGACCCCAATTTTGAACTACTACATGCTGACAAAAGGATAAAACAACTGAAAAAGCAAGCCACACCACAGATTGGAAGAATTCTGATTATACAAAAGTTAAAAACTGTTTTCTCAGTGAAGAATTTATCAGATTCTCAAATCAGAAACTGTGTCATTGTCCAAACAGTCTCAAGAACTCCATTGGTTAGAGTAAGAAAAGGTACCTTTAATAACCATAGTCTCGCACAGTAAAAAAGGTTTTTGATAGCATAATGGGGTTTTTTTGGGGGGGAGGGGGGTTCATTATCTTTCTAAAAGATATTAAAGATGGTAAACACTCTGTAAACCAGGGGATACAACCATGGTAAAAAATTCTGTAAACCAGGGGATAGAGTTCAGCCCTAAGATTTCAGTGCTTGAAACCTTTTGTCTCCAAATAGCTATTTGTTGTTCCCATCTCTAAAATAAAAAGCCCTCTTGCTCTTACAGTGTAACAGTGACAAATTATTATGAAATGTTTGTGAGATTTTTTTACAATACTGAGTCAAAAAAATGCTCATTTACCTGTTCTGTATATTCCCCCCCATGTGGTCATTTATACAAGAATGATTCCATTACTGCAGCCTTGTAATTAAGTCCACAAATTAGTTTTTCATAAAAGTTTTACTAGCTTGCCTAATTCATCATGTGATTGCTTTGAAAACTACAATCTTTTTCCAAGGGTTACAAGGCTTTCTCTGCTTGTTCACCTGGGTAAAAGTTTGCATTATTGCTGTTCCCAGAACATTATGTAAATTCTACGTGTCAAATACTTATACATGGCATGGTATAATTTTACTTACCATCTTCTTCTTCTTGGTCCTGACCATTAATTCTACGTTTGCATTCTTCTGGGAAATACTTCTGAATTGCTTCCCATAATTTCAAATTAATAAGAGTGTTCTTACGGGCATTATAACGTGCCCAAGAAGAGACTCGGCGACGGCAGAAAGGACAGCACAAGCTGGCCTTCTCTACTGTGAGCTGGAAACAGGGATTGCAGAGAGTGTGCTGGCATGGCAATGTGACGGGTTCCAGAAAAATTTCCATGCAAATATTGCAGAGACAATCAGATAAGGAAAGTGAAGTCTCCAGTTCCTTTGACATTTTGGATCCAGGAAAGGAAGGTAGCTAGTGCATCATCAGCATCTGCAATCAGGACAACATTACATTCTCTGAATCATAGAAATATAAAACAAGTATCTCTGTTCAAAGACTATTGGATCAGTTATTTGGTTCCCTTTTCTCAACCAATGTCAAAACCCTCTCCAATCTTTCACCCCGTTCGAGGTGCAAGCCACACCACCATTGCATGCAGCTGCCTCATTCACTGTGAAGCAAATTCCTTATCTATTAGTACATACTCTCCACCTTATTGTATATTATCCATCATCAACATACAGCAAGTACTGTATGGTTTCTGCTATTGTTTTCAACAACTGCTATTCTAAGCAATGGAAATGGAATTATATTTGCAGTCTCTTGGCTTTATAAAACTGTGCACCAGATTTACTCTTCCCATCAGTTTATTCTCTCTGTTCCCTGCTCTTTCCTCACAATGATAACAATCCCAAGCAGGTTTCTTCAGAAGTCCCTTTTTACTCGGTGGGGCTTACTCGAAGAAAAGGGTTCTTAAGACTGCAGCCATGATCTGTGGAAGCCATTCCAGAGCATTTCTGGTGGCTGCTCTAAAACTTCAGAGCAGACTGTTAGTGGATATGAATATTCCTTTTTTGTTAGGAGTCGTGGCTCAGAGGGTAAGACGCTGAGCTGCAGAATGGAAGGTCTGTAGTTCGGCAGTTCAAGACCCTAGTGCCACAGCTCCTGTCTGACCCTTGCTCCGGCCAACCTAGCAGTTCAAAAGCAAGAAATTGCAAGTAGATAAATAGGTACCACTTCGGTGGGAAGGTAATAACGTTTCATGCACCTCAGCATTTAGCCATGCCGGCCACATGACAATGGAGAAGTCTTCGGACAGCACTGGCTTTTCGGCTTGGAAACAGAGGTGAGCACTGCCCCCTAGAGTCGGATTCGACTGGCTTTTGAGCAAGTGAAACCTTTACAATACCATATCATTCTGCTAGGCTTTCTGTCAATTTTACTACCATTTCTGCAAGTTGTAGATCTGGATTTAATCTGCTACCTTTATTTGATGACAAATACATATTTCTATATTTTGCTTTTCTGCATACTCTTGCAAAATAACTTGGGTTCGCTGTATGAGGAAAAGCAACACAAAATATTTTAATAAATACACTATTCTGTGCTACAGACTTGCTTCTAACCAATAAAGGTGAAGATTGGGTGGTTTGCCTACTCTGAGTAGACTTAACAGAGCAATCCTAAGCACCAGAGCCTTTCCAAGTCCACCAAAGTCAGTGGGCCTCTGCTTATGACTAAACTGTTAGTCTGTCCTTTAGACAAACTTGATGGTCAGTTACACTCAACATCCAAAATAATTATTTTAATGCACTGTCTCCTGCCACCATGCAAGGAATGCACTACATAATTTTTGATGTAAACACACTAACTCAGTGACTTTGAGCTGCTCAGCTACTCATCTAAGGCTATTATGTTTAGGGACTGCATGCTTTGTCTACATACAGCTACATCTCAATGCTGCTTTAACGACAAATGCAGGTAAATCACAACAGTATAAGAATAAGCTAGGCTGTGTGCTAGAGCAAGGGCTCCATTCCACTATCACTCAGTCCTCCCAACAGAAGCACTTTCTTTCAAGGTTGGAAGATCTCTTCCTATTAAGAAGGGTGAATTTAAAATTATAAGTTTTGTTGGCACCCATATTTTTATGACGGGAAGTAGTTGAAGGAGGCTGGAACACTCCTTCCTAGTTCAAAGGTACATGATGAGAACCGCTGAACTACACCTCCCCACCCCTATTTCTAAGATGATACCACCTGAGTAATATTATAACACATGATACATTATGCTTTTCACATAGCACAAAATCTTATTTTCACTGAGGAAAATATTTTGACAGCCTTGATGGTTAAATTTTTATTTTTTAAGAAACAAAACATTGTGCCTATGCAGATTTTTAAAAGCAGCTTGCCAGTTAAACCATACAATCAACGTACGTTACAGAAGCTATACAGATTACCAAATTGCTAAATTGGGACTGGAACAGAACACAAAACATGAATGTCTTCGGAAATATTGCTGAGGCCAGAAGAAATGTTAGAAGACATTATTGCACTAAGCAGAACATTTCTTAATGAATTCTATTTTCATCATACAAATCTGTTACAATCCCACCTAAACGGAATAATATTTGAAACCAGGAAGTACGACAAACCCCTTTGTCCTATGTCCAAGAATTCATACGCGTCCAATCGCGCCCTATTTCCGGAACTGGACTTATTCCAATACGATCTTTCTTTCCTCGGTTTTTACCTCCGCCCCGAGGTTTGCGTGTACTCTGAAGTTCAAGGGGAAAGCATTCTTCGTGCTCTATTTCTCATTCGCAAACAATTTCATCCCATGGTAGACAGATAAAGTGAGTCCAGTCCAAATACTGACTGTTTTGTTCCGTTTTAACGCCTGCCTCTCAAAACTGGAAAAAGCCGCGGCCCTCGTCAGCCTCCTCACCCGCCGAGACCACAGCAAAAGCTGAGCGGCTTCCCGCCGCCACGCAAAGAACGAGTCTATAACGACGCCTTTCCTGAGGCCCACGGACACGGAGAAAACTGACAAGGCAGCGCTACTCCATCGGGCGAACTGAATGAAACCGACCGCGAAGCCCCCACAAGAGCCTCACCGATCAAACGGCCGCACGAAACGCTGCCCCTCGCCGCCGAGCGCAGGGCCGCTCCTCCCCCATCCCATGATCCTGGAGAGGCGCCC